ATGATTGGGCATAGAGTGAGTTGAAATTTTGCATTTGGAGTGTGAAAACTGATGACAGATGATTCTAGAACTACCGAGTGAATTGTTACTATAAATTTTCTTATTTGCCCCTGGTCGTCCTCTCATCAAATTTCTATATAAATAGAAATATATATATATATATATATATATATATATATATTACTACATATAATAAGTGGGAATATCTACTACTTAGCACATGACAAGTGTTGGATGATATGTGCTTAGATAGTGTTGTACATTCTTCTTTTATGGTTGTACCTTTAAAATTTATATTATTGGACAATTTAACACCATTAGTTACCTACCTCATTTGGGCCCATATATATATATATATATAAAATAAGCCACAATGCAAAGATTTTTATAGTATTTAGTTACATTGTAACTATCTTGTTAGCTTTCAACCAAAATAAGTACTTCTTTTAAATAATAAATATGTCATTGTATGAGCTATTTATTATTCATTCCTTTTGAATTTGTTAATTTGATTTTGATCTGACACATAGTTTACGAAAGTAAATTAGATTTTTAGAAAAAACATTAAGTGATACTTGAAGTTGTCCAGATTTTTAAAAAGACACCTTAACTTTGTGTGCGTCCTATTACCTCACAAAACATTCAAAATCACAATAAATACACATTTTTTACACAATATTTCTACTTTGGACAAAAATATCCTTCGAATGTGCAATTTCTTAAAAATAAAAAGTCGGACCCATTATTGATATATTGAAGGATACTTTGGTAATTTCTTATGATGAATTCGTTTTGTTTGTTTCTTTTAAATTTATTTTACTATACTAAATAATTGTATAAAATATTATGAATCACGATAATTAATTACTTAAATATTTAAAAGATATAAAAATATATAAAAGATTTGATTGACTCTTCAAATTTTACCTGTGACACATAAATTCGGAAAAATGAAATAATATATATTATTTGAAAATTTCTTAGAAAGTACTATAAATTACAATAATTAGCAGCTAGAAATATTTCAAAGATAAAATAAATTGATTGAATCTCAAAAAAAATTTAGTACTACATAAATTGAGAAAGAAGAAATGACCTCTATTATTTAAAAATGACGTAAAAGTATTACAAATCATACAATAAGAATTAACAATTTAAAATTTTAAAAGACTTTAATGTTTTATACTTATTCTATTTCCACTTTGGACAAAAATATCCTTCCAATATGCATATTTTTTTAAACAAAAAGTGGGACCCATTATTGATATATTGAATGATGCTTTGGTAATTTTCCTATGATGAATTCGCTTTCTTTGTTGTTTATTTTTTTTAAAAATAATTGTATAAAATAATATAAATCACAATAATTATTTACTTAAATATTCAAAAGATATAAAAATATGTAAAAGATCTGATTAACTCTTCAAATTTTATCGGTGATACATAAATTGAACAAATGAAATAATATATATTAATTGAAAATTACTTAGAAAGTACAATAATTTACAGTAATTAACAATATAATATTTTAAAGACAAAATAAATTGATTGAATCTCGAAATTTTATTAGTACCACATAAATTGAGAAAGAAGAAATAACTTTTATTATTTGAAAATTGCGTAAAATATATTACAAATCATACAACAATAATTAACAATTTAGATAATGATAAGGGGTAAACTATCCATTGATTTCATAAAGTGCACAAGTATTGTAGGACATTCCAAAATAGTATAATAGACAATAATTATTGGACGGATGGACAACCTAAGCCTACACATCAGCCATAAAATTGAGAGATTGCTATGAAATTTGAAGAAGAACATACCTGGAACTATGAAGACTTGCAAATCCATTCATCGTTATTGGAACAACAGGGAGGGAAGACGTGATGCTTCTAGAAATATGATTGGGCATAGAGTGAGTTGAAATTTTACATTTGGAATGTGAAAACTGATGACAGATGATTCTAGAACTACCGAGTGAATTGTTACTGTAAATTTACTTATTTGCCCCTGGTCGTCCTCTCATCACATTTCTATATAATAGAAATATATATATATATTACTATACATAATAAGTGGGAGCACATGACAAGTGTTGGATGATATGTGCTTAGATAGTGTTGTACATTCTTCTTTTATTGTTGTACCTTTAAAATTTATATTATTGGACAATTTAACACCATTAATTACCTACCTCATTTGGGCCCAATTTTTTTTTTTTTTATATATATATATATAAAATAAGCTACAATGCAAAGATTTTTATAATATTTAGTTACATTGTAACTATCTTGTTAGCTTTCAACCAAAATGAGTACTTCTTTTAAATAATAAATATGTCATTGTATGAGCTATTTATTACTTATTCCTTTTGAATTTGTTAATTTGATTTTGATCTGACACATAGTTTACGAAAGTAAATTAGATTTTTAGAAAAAACATTAAGTGATACTTGAAGTTGTCCCAGATTTTCAAAAAGACACCTTAACTTTGCGTGCGTCCTATTATCTCACAAAACATTCAAAATCACAATAAATACACATTTTTTACACAATATTACCACTTTAGACAAAAATATCCTTCGAATGTGCAATTTCTTAAAAACAAAAAGTCGGATCCATTATTGATGTATTGAAGGATGCTTTGGTAATTTCCTATGATGAATTCGTTTTGTTTGTTTCTTGTAAATTTATTTTACTATACTAAATAATTGTATAAAATATTATGAATCACGATAATTAATTACTTAAATATTTAAAAGATATAAAAATATATAAAAGATTTGATTGACTCTTCAAATTTTACCGGTGACACATAAATTGGGACAAATGAAATAATATATATTATTTGAAAATTTCTTAGAAAATACTATAAATTACAGTAATTAGCAGCTAGAAATATTTCAAACACAAAAAAAAATTGATTGAATTTCAAAATTTTTTTAGTACTACATAAATTGAGAAAGAAGAAATGACCTCTATTATTTGAAAATGACGTAAAAGTATTACAAATCATACAATAAGAATTAACAATTTAAAATTTTAAAAGACTTTAATGCTTTATACTTATTCTATTTCCACTTTGGACAAAAATATCCTCCCAATATGCATATTTTTTTAAACAAAAAGTGGGACCCATTATTGATGTATTGAAGGATGCTTTGGTAATTTTCCTATGATGAATTCGCTTTCTTTGTTGTTTATTTTTTTTAATAATAATTGTATAAAATATTATAAATCACAATAATTATTTACTTAAATATTCAAAAGATATAAAAATATGTAAAAGATCTGATTAACTCTTCAAATTTTATCGGTGATACATAAATTGGACAAATGAAATAATATATATTATTTGAAAATTACTTATAAAGTACAATAATTTACAGTAATTAACAATATAATATTTTAAAGACAAAATAAATTGATTGAATTTCGAAATTTTATTAGTACCACATAAATTGAGAAAGAAGAAAACCTTTATTATTTGAAAATTGCGTAAAAGATATTACAAATCATACAACAATAATTAGCAATTTAAATAATGATAAGGGGTAAGCTATCCATTGATTTCATAAAGTGCACAAGTATTGTAGGACATTCCAAAATAGTATAATAGACAATAATTATTGGACGGATGGAGTAGGATTAAGTCTTTTTTTCAGTACTTTTCTCACATTAATTAATTTCTCTCAGCATTCAATTAGTGAATCTTTAGCAGAATTAATTAGAATGTTTTTTACTTAATACAATAAAAGTTCAAATAAGATTAACATAAAGAAAAATAAAAAAAATCCTAAAAATCTATCAATATATTAAACAACATACGACATATATAACAAAAGTTCTAATAAGATTAACAAAAAGGAAAAAAAAACAAAATTCTTAAAAATCATCAACAAACTACATACAAAATAAAAAGAAAGTTATTCCAACAAAAGAATACATAAAGTTAAAATGAACTTTAAGAATTCTAACGTCTTAAGCATATTGAGGCAAACATTTTAATTTAATGTCATTTCTCTCCAAAGAAAGAAAGGCATTGAATATTTTAATTTAATGTAAAATTGAATTTTTTGGGGTTATGAATATAAAAGGTTTGAAAGTTATGAATATTATTAATACTAATTAAAAGTATAATTTATGAAGATGAAGAATTGTGAGTTATGAAAATAACTTTTAAAAATAATATAATTGAGAAAAATTCAAAAAAGGAGAAAAAAGAAAAATGACAATGAAGGTTATAGAGAGCGCCACATCACCGTTTAAGGTAACTCTACTGATAATTGTGAAGAAAGCATATTAATGAATTAAAAATCAAAAAGAGGTAATTAAACCCTAAAATATTATAAAGACATCTATAAAATTTGGTTGAAACTCAAAATCTATTAGTGCCATATAAATTAGGATAGAGGAAATAACATATATTATTTGAAATAACATGAAACGTACTACAAATCACACAATAATTAGCAACTACAAAATTTAAAGGACATACAAAAAATTTGATCAACTCTCAAAATTCTACTAATGTCACATAGTTTGGGATAGAAAAAGTAACATATACGTAAAATGTACTATAACTCATAATAATTAAATAACTTCAAAATCTATAAGACATATACAAAATTTTCTTGACTTTCGAAATTCTATCAATGACACATAAATTGGGACAAAGAGAATATTGAAAATTACATATAAAGTATTATTAACCATAATAATCAACAACTTAAAATTTAAAGAACATACAAAAAAATTGTTTGACCGTTAAAATTTTATTAATGTCACATAAATTAAAATAAAAAATAAATATATGTTGGGTCCGTGCTAGCACTGGCTACTGTAACTATATATATATATATATATATATATATATATATGGAGGTCCGAAAACACGTGTGGAAACTTGAGTAGACATCCGTAGGCGACTTTTAAACAATCCAGAAGTCGGTGATAAAACTTATTTCTATTTTTTTCGTAGATAACATAAATAAAGAGACTCTCTCTGCTTTATTCAAAAACCACACGATTCCGATATACTTTGTGAATCTACTGGTACTGGGCATCCAATTTCTCTCCTCCCGATAAAGCTCCCATGGCGGAGAACCCTAATTGCACTGTATATGTCGGTATGTCTTCTTTTTTAATTTCCATATATCTGCTCTAATAATTTTTTCTGAATGTTTTCTCCTATATCAGATCTGATGTCGCACTCTTTTTTTGGTTTTCTTTTCAATAGTCAAGGAAGTAATAATCTTAGAGATATGTGCCTTTTTCTGGTTATGTTTGGTTGATTACTGAATTTAATTTGTTTGCTACAACTGTTTTTTCCCCTTTCTAAACACAGTTCCGCGTTTGGTTCCGTTGTGCTACAGTTACTCCCTTTTTCCTAATCACTTTCCTTTTAGTCTGTATATATGACTAATTTGAGACCTCCAATTCCAAAAGTCTTTTTTTCTCCAACTCCATGTTATTTGAATGTCAAATAACATCTCACTTTTACTGTCAACCAAAAGGGTTACACTTGGACCTCCTAAACTACTTCATAATGAGAACCAATATATACCTTGGGATGAATTGCACATAAATTTGGTTAATCTGCCTTTGTTAGGATAGCTGACTTTGTTGAGGTGTCTTTTCTTTTCCTGTTGCTTGTTTGAATTATCTCTGCAAGAGTGCGCTTAACATGTAGTGCCTTTTTGATAGATAGGACATGCAATTTCTGTTGTGCTGTGAATGAGTTGTATGATGTACCACTTTCTAAGATGTGTTTGAATTTCTTTTAGGAAATTTGGATGAGAGAGTATGCGATCGTGTACTATATGACATTCTAATTCAAGCAGGGCGTGTTGTTGACTTGTACATTCCTCGTGACAAGGAAACTGATAAGCCTAAAGGTTTTGCCTTCGCAAAATATGAGACAGAAGAGATTGCAGACTATGCTGTGAAGCTTTTCTCTGGTTTAGTGACACTCTACAATAGAACATTAAAATTTGCAGTAAGTCCTTGTTACCCGTCCCTTAACTGGCTAAAAGGGTCTGATTTTGTGATGGTCATTTAGTGAATTTTTGTGTTCCAAGTATTATCAGCTTCTGTAGTGCTTGCAAACCTAAGGTATGGGTTTACCTCCTCTATGTTTTCCAATAGAACCAGCCTCTGTGTAGATGTTGGATAGTCTTGGCATGGTATAGAGATTGTCAGTGTGTCTTGGTTTTGGTTCATGAATTGAGAGATGCATCCAGCATATGTTCTTTCAGTCAATTGTGCGGGCTGGCAGTTGGAACTTATAGTTTTGAGGAGGCAAAGTCTACAGAAGCATCTTTGATTAGTTCATAATGTTTATTGATGGATTAATTTTTCTAAACAGATTTCTGGGCAAGACAAGCCCTCTAATAACTCGCCAATCGCAACACTGCCGGCCTTAAATATTCCCTCTAGACCAAGGCCTCATCCTACACCTTATAATGATAAGGAAATTTCACCAAATTCCGCAAGGTTATCAACTTCATGCTGGTTTTCACAGCACCAAACTAGTTACACACAAGGTGATGCATGCTTTTTTTTTTTAGTGAAGTCATTATCCAATGCTCTTAATTCTCTTTTTTTTTTTCTTTTTAAACTTTATGATTGTCTGTTTCTTTGAGTTTTAACTTACATGTTTATAATTGTTTTGTCTATTCAGTTCCAGTCCCCCCTGGTGTTTCAGTAAACCAGTCTAATGGTTATAGATCACCTTATGATGGATATAGATCACATTATGATGGCAACAATTATGATTACGATCAAAGAGTATTTGGGGCAGCTTTGGATAGTATAACAAGCTCTAGGTTGGGCCGATATGATCCCCGTAGCCCGACCAGTTACCCTTCTTATTGATTTTTGATTTTCTCTAGGTATTGAGAAAGCTCTGACATGTCTTCTGCTAAGTTATGTAGGTGTATTGGTACTTTGGAGGGTTTGTGCAAGGTGCTTTAGATTTAGTTTTATGTCACTTTGTTGTTCATTGTTGTGCTAGTTTGTCTCTGGTTATGTTTCTGATGTCTGTACTCTTGGAACTATATGTTACTTTTCTTTGATCCAACTCTATAATATCTATTCTAGTAGCCAGAATTGCATCCTTGTATTTGATTTTCTGAAAAAGGTGCAAAGATTTGTATCTTGCTTCCGCTATCTTTTCTCTTTCCTTCTTCAGTTACCTCAGAGGCACACGCAACCCAGGCCCTAAAGGATCTGTAGAGATGGACATATTTATATATTTCTTATTTGCGATATATGCATTGCTTTGAAGTCTTGGAGATTAAAGTTGCTTGCTATTGGTGTGTGATAGGCTCTGTGAGCTTTTGTATGGCCATATACATCTATTGACATAGATGTGCGTAAGAGAATTTCCTTTCGACAACAACATTGAAGATTTATCTCTTGAGATTAGTATTTTAAATAGCCCCTTCATGTATGTGATCAACTGAGTCTCTTCTCACTCAGATTTTCTTTAGTTCATGAAATTACAATCAGGTGTTCATTAAGTGCTTTTTCTCTTGATGCTAATGAATATTGTAAATCCTGGACAATGAAATGGCATGCCTGGATGTAGGTTTAACTTGCAAATACTCTTATGTGTTGATTATGTCTTTTTCAACTATTTGGACGCTTCTATTATCTTTTTCCCAGCATCATGAGCGTGGACGACTATGGACATCATGAGTGCAGGCAACTGGGATCTAACATTGGAGACGGAATAATCAGTGAACCTTATCTTTTATAATCGTAGTGTCCGAGTCAACTTGCACACACCTTGGCTGATTTTAGGGTACCTGCTACTTCTCACCAATATAAGTATTGGGTATATGTCCACTAAGACTTGAATAGATGGAAAGAACTTAACTAGTATTTTATCGGAATTTGAGTTTGAATTTGAGGCCTCATTGGTCTCAACCCCCACTTCATTGACCACTAGACCACACCTTGTTTGGTATTATGTTAAGAAGATGGTTCTTGCCCAACTCTTTCTAATCTAGTTGACCATTTATTATAATTTCCCCCCTTTTACCAACTATGTGATCAACTATGTGAGCCTCATTTATGTGTTTGTTGTTGGTAGTTGTATAAACTTGTACTAGACATGGGGTTGTATGTAAGAATATGAACATTCAAGCCAAAACCTTAAAGGTAATAGATGGATTTGTCGGCCCCCAAGGCCTAGCTTGAGTGGCAAAAGGTGGAGGATTTGTGGCTTAGGTCGCAGGTTCAAGCCCCACACCATGCAAAGCGAAGCCCGGTATTTAAGTGGAGAAGGGTAGAGGGGCTGGCCCATTATCCACCGAGTTTAGAAGGCTGTGATTGGTCCAAAGGGCGGGTCACAGACGGATTTCTCGGTTATAAAAAAAATAGATGGATTTGTCGACATATTTAATAAACTACTTTGGATGTCACATTTATATTAAAGGTGGATACCTATATAACTCAACACCTTCGTAGATTTTTAATCTAATTTGGGATCAATGTGGACCTTTATGTGGACCTACAAACTTGAGAGTGTGTGCTATAGGTTGATTCTTAACATGTGAAGAATTTCACTTTTCAACACAATCTTATTACTCCTTTTGTCTCAATTTATGTGATGTGTTTTCTTTTCAGTTTGTTTGTCCTTAAAAGAACAATACCTTTTTATATTTGTAGACACTTTAACTTTGAACTTTCTATTTTACCTTGATATGATATGTGCAGCCTCACAAATATCTATGGTTTGTTTTAGACCACAAGTTCCCAAAATTCTTTTCTTTCATAAATTTTGTGAAAGTGCATCACATAAATTGGGTTAGAGGGGTATAATTTGTGAAGCAATCTAATACATTTAAAATCCATCATATTATTCAACTAAGGATAGTCCAACCATAGATAATTCAAAGGGTAGACTTCGCACCACACGACTTCCTTGTAGTCCCTTTTGGTGATAAGAACCAGTGTTATTAAAAGCGAAAAGCGCAAAAAAGCTCTAAGGTCCGTGGGGGCTTTAAGTGCAAAGCGCAAATAAAGCGTGGGATTTAATGAAAAAAGGCGCAAAGGGAGAAAAAAAAATGTGTATGTTTAGTCCAAGACTAATAATTATAAACATGAATGAATATATGACCAAAGAAATTGAATTTTTTTTATGATAAAGTGAAATATCAATTGTTAAGTGTCACACTTCTTCATAAGAGGCTCATTGACAAGGAAAAGTTTGTCTTAGAACTTTGATGACGACACTGAAGTGCACATAAAGCGAGGCGAAGCGCTCAACACGTTTTGAGCCTCACTTTAGGGCTTAAGCGCGCTTAAAGCGCGCCTTTGGTAACACTGATAAGAACTCTTGCTGACTTCACTGCTCGTACTCTATTATATTCATATGGCCTCTTCACATCAAAATATGGGATTCTCAATTATTCCACCAAAGTTGGACTAATAAAATTAGCACCAATGAGATCTACTTGAAGTGTATAGCTTCCAAACCCATTGTTGTGCGAAGAGTGTGTTATGACCCGTGGCCGCCTGCTTGGTGGGGGCAGCTCCGATGGATCAGAGCTACTCGAAGAATGTGATAGGTGCTTGAGACCGGAATTGCTTACTATTAGGTAGTGGATGTCTACTATGAATTTGTGCAAACTTCTTCCTTGTACCATTTTCTCCATAGTAGTATCCTAGGGAATATTCTTGAGGAGATAAACCACGCCTCCCTTTTCTCCAAATTTATTTCCAATAGCATGCCTATACGAAAACATGACATATGTGCATCGGAACAAGAAGCATAAGGCATTGTATCCCTTTGAGTAGGAAATGTACATTATCTTTCTCTCATCGGATGATATCGACTTTCCCCAACATACCCACACACTACTTCGGTTAGAATAATAAGGAGGACCACAAGACAATTTATATGAGTCTCCACTATCTTCATGGACATTTTCACCACAACTCCAACTGGAAATCGTCATCATAAGACTCATAAGGCATGTGTGTGGAAGATTCATATTTCAAGTCGTCTTCATCCTCATAGTGTGTAGTGTGAGGACCCTCATAATCTTCATCGTCATCATAGGAATCATCCCAAGGGTTATGAGGATCTACAATCCAAAAAAGGTTCTTCTACCCCACCATCTTCTCCACAAGATCTATACACACCAATTCTTTGTATTCACCTCTGAAATAGCAACTCTCATCTCTATATGACTCATGATTACGGCTATTATCATAGCCTCCCATCATCACTACAAGCATAGTCTCCCATGTCACCGTCACAAGGATTTGAAGCTATGGATGACATATAGCTCCTTGTGCCTACAAGACGAGCAAACAAGTTAGTCTTAAAAATTCCTTACTTTTACTCGCATTTGCACTCTTTTACTCGTATTTGCAACTAATACATTTGAGTGGTGCTAGCCAAGCACAAAAGAGTCATAGGTATATATATACAAAATACTAAGTCTTAGGTATATATATATATACAAATTCTGTTTGCACTCGTTTGTGCTTGGCTAGCGCCACTCAAAAAGACTATAGTCTCCTAGGATTTTTCTTCTTTTTTTCTTCTTGGTTCGTTACTTTGTTTTCCTTTGCCCTGTTTAGCTTTGATTATTTGAATTATATGTTGCTGATTTTCTTTTCTCACAGTGATTAAAATATATATTGCTGAATTTTTTTGTTTGTTAACAATAATGAAAATGTTGTTGAATTTTTTCTTAATAGTGATAAAAATATTATGTTGATTATTTTTTTTCTTAAAATCTTACTAGTGATTAAAAGTGGCTTACCAGGCATGAAATTATGGGGAAAAAAGTTAGTGAGACCAATAGGACAACCATTGTATGTCCCTTTTGTAACAAGACTACTAAGGGGAACCATTTTTTAGTTTTTAATATGAATTTTTGCTTATATATTTTGTCTCTATTTATTTATTTTGGTCTTTTTTCTTTTAATTCGGACTTCACTTCAATGATGAAGTGAGCGCTTTGCTTAAAGCGTGAGGTGGGACCTTGCCGCTTTTTTCCGCTTCGTGCTCTCCTATACACTGGGTTGAACCTTTTGTCGTGAAATCTCATTTGAAATTTGTGCATCCGACTTTTGGTTGATATTTTCTCATCCTTCGCTTCCTTTGGTGGGCCCACTTCACCTAGAAATTACCCCTTTTGTATCTTGAAACACTTAATCCAAACATTTCAATTGGGGTTTTGGATCAAACTTGTACTTTTTCTAACTTCTTCTTCAAAGAGATGAAGAACATTCAAAATTCAAACTTCTTCAATTTTTCTTGGAATCCCTTTAAATTTCAGACTTAGCTTCTCCTCAAGTTAGAGAACAAGCCCCAATTCTTTGAAGTCCAAAACCTCACTCAATCTTTAAAATCCATTTAGCTTGTTCTTCAAGTTTTCAATCTAACAATGGTGAAATCTCCCAATCAATTCCAAATGGCTTTAAACTCCACATCTACACTCAAATAACACTAGAGAATACTAATCTAGTGTCAAAAACAACAAACAAGAAGGATTTGAATCAGATTTTAAATTTTTAACCCTTTTTTTTTTTTCTGTAACAAACTCAAGTCTAGATTTGTAAAAATAAATCTATACTCTACTCTAATACCAAATGGTACAATATTTAAACGTGGAAACTAAAAGAAACCTTACACTAAGAACTAGGAAAGTAAAAGATAAAGAATGACACAAGATGGATAAAGAATTAAGAACAATGGTTATGTGACAACCAATACCCCAAATTACAATATTCTAGAAAGCACAATTGTGTAAAAAATCAAGACACAAGAATGAGGCTAATAGGCAACAATGACTATGTTAAAGCCAAAACCTCCTACAAAAAACACCAAAACAAGCACCTATACTATAGAAAGACACCCTCAAGAGGAATGATCCTCAAGCAAGTAATTCCATCAATATTTCTATCAACAGTGACCTTAGCTTTCAACTCTCTCAAGAGTGTACTCAATAATCTCATATGAAAATAATCCAAGTCTAAATGAGTTACTCTCATGTATTTATAGTGTAAGGCTAGCTATTACATAAAAGGCCCAAAAGTGGCACTTCAAAGAATTGCAAAAACAACCCAAATCTGACTG